AGTACAGGCTGGGGGATGGGGGGACGGAGAGCAGCCCTGCCGAGAAGGTCTTGCGGATTGCTGGTGGGTGAAAAGCTTGACATGAGCTGACAATATGTGCTCACAGCCCAGAAGACCAACCGTATCCTGGGCTGCATCAAGAGAAACAAGGCCAGCAGGTCAAGGGAGGGGATTCTGCCCCTCTGCTCCTCTCCGGTGAGACCCCACCTGGAGTCCTGTGTCCAGCTCTGGAGCCCCCAGCAAAAGAAGGACATGGAGCTATTGGAGCGGGGCCAGAGGAGGGCCACAAAGATGATCCAAGGGCTGGAGCACCTCTCCTCTGAGGAAAGGCTGAGAGATTTGGGGCTTGTTCAGCCTGGAGAAGAGAAGGCTGTGGGGAGACCTTACTGCAGCCTTCCAGTACCTGAAGGGGACCTATAGGAAAGATGGGGAAAATATTTTCAGCAGGGCTTGCTGAGACAGCACAAGGAGTAATGGCTTTAAACCAAGGGAGGGTAGATTTAGACTGGACATGAGGAAGAAATTTTTTACCATGAGGGTGGTGAAACACTGGCACAGGTTGCCCAAAGAGGTAGTGGAGGCCCCATCCCTGGAAACATTCAAGGCCAGGTTAGACAGGGCTCTGAGCAACCTGGTCTAGTGGAAGATATCCCTGCTTACTATAGGGGAGTTGGGCTAGATGATCTCTAAACGTCCCTTCCAACCCAAAGCATTCTACGAGTCTATGATTCTATGATTCAGTATTCATTTTCTTCTGTATCATCTTTTTCTGTACCAGTTTTCATCTCTCATACAGACAGTTTCCTCCCTTCTCACTCTCCTTCTTTCCTTAAAGTTTTGGGTTTTGTTTTTTTAAACATTTTCTTCTCTTCCGCCAAATCCTCCCCATTGTGCTTTCCCAAGTTGCCTCCCTATTTTTCATTCTCCCTTGCAGCTGCTTAGCTGCTTCTGGCATTTTAATTAATTGTTTAGCTGTTTCTCATCCTTCCCAAAGCTGCTGGAGACAAGGTCTGGGGTCGCAGGTCTCCTCCTGACTGTGGTCTGCATTCCAGCATTGCTTCCATCCTCAGAAGATCCCAAGCTCCAGCTTCCATTTGGTGGTGGGAGACTGGCCACAGGTTGTTTTTTATGCCATGGGAACCTATGCATGTATAAGGACAGCTGCAGAATAATTGTACGTACCATGTTTCCTGTGACACTGGGTCTAGAAATACTGATGAGCTGTTGTGATCCTGAGGCAAGAGGAAAAATGTTGGAAAGTGTTTCAGTTAGTTATAAATTGCTTTTGGTAGGTTCTAGTCAATAAATACCAAAGCAAAAAGGTATCTTCACCGTTTTCTTGCCGTAACATTCCTGACAATTCAGTGATGGATCCCCCCTCCATTATACTTCATTTCCCTTCAGCAATTTGTTCCTCTTTCTGGGGAAATCTGTCTCACTGATACTTCTAGATACAAGCTTACCTCTATTTTTCCAGTACTACTGCTGGGTAACCTTAAGTAATTACTTCTCTTTGGTGTGGTTTTGTGTAAAAGAAATACTAATTCTGTTATTTATCATTGAAATGAGCAAACTAATTGATATTTAACTGATATTAATTCTAAACATGTATCTCCTCTTGTCTTTCAACATTTTGGCCACTGCTCAGTTTTCTTCATGTTATCGCTGCCTTCACACTAGCTGAAGCAGCCAGAACCACAACTGATCTGAGAGAGGTAGATGTCCAGTAGTACATGAAGAAGGGCTATTCGTGCTGTCACCCGTGATGTGATACCTCCAGCCGTGCATCTCCAAATGGCATTGACTCTGCTTGCACCGTATCATATTGACAATTCACACCCCGCTTGTTGTTCAGCTGATATCATATGGAAGTCTTTTTCCAGCTGAATGCTAGACTGCTCTGCAAGTTTCTCTGTCTGACTGAATGCCTGCAGTGGAGTTAGGTCTCCCTAGATACAGCCGTATGCACTTGTACTGAATGGAGCTCATTAACTTTTAACCTTTAAGTCAATATGAACTGCAGCTCTACTCATCATCCACTTCCCTTTCTGTTAGATCAAGGTTTAGGACCTGGTACACAACACCAATGACCTGATACAGCCCACAGGTTAATTTTAGTTGTATATAGCCTTACAAACCACTTTTTCCCATGTTAGTACGAAACTGCACTAACATATGGGCTCAGGTACTATTGTCCAAGCAGGCTTGATGGATGCAGCTGAGAAACATCTCAGGTTCTTTCTCAGGAGAATTCCCTAATGCTCATGAACTGGACGCAAACATCTGGTAGGTTTTCACTCACAGAAACCCAGGACTATGTATCTGCTTGAAAGCTTCAAACCACATTTATTGTAAATTCATGGAAAAAGAGAAAAAAAAAAAAGAAGAAACCACAGGTTGGTAAACTATTACATCTCAGAATGAAGAACTTGTCCATTGATGTGCAATCAGATATTGAAAAGAATATCTAAATAAGCAGCAATTTCTCAATAGAAATCTCATTAAATAAAAAAGAAAATTAGTTCCATATTTACAGATTGCAAGGCAAATGTATCCTTAAAGCATTGTTTTGTATTTAGCGGGTTTATTTCTTTGAAATAAAGGAGAAATGGTTTGAATCTAAGAGTGTACTTTGGAAGCAGCTTGCTACACAGTCTATTTTACCACCAGTGAATGGACAAGTAGCCTCTCCTTGACCACTGCAGTGCTCTGCTTCTTCTGTTGTCCAGGCTTTCACCGAAGGGCTTCTGGTACCTCCACCTACGAAAGGAGGGGTGGGGTCGGGTAGGGTGGGGAGGGTGTTCATTACATTTGCTATACAGTCTGGATGCCAAAATTCCTACCAGAGACACACTCCCAAGAGCCCAGTGCCACGCAGCATCTCCCGTAACAAGCCTGAACTCGGGAGAGTACCCCACTTTCCGTCAAAACCACAGTCGAACAGAAGTCAGTGTGCTGAGAAAAACCTGATCAGAGAAAAGCCTCCTCCCAAATGTTTGCTTACGCTCACATTTCTAAGAAATTTTTTTATTAAATATATATGTACTAAAATTAACTGAGCTTGTGCTATATGTGAGCCACCACCAATTATTGAAATATGATCTCTTACTTACCCGCCTTAATTGCTTTATGCTGCTTGCCCGAATTGCTTCCATAAGGTTGTCATGGAGAGACCTTTGTGGGGTGGACGGACGGGTGGAGGGTCGTGAACCTTCCTCTGATTTTCTGTCCGAGACTGATTTCAGAGATTCTTTAATTTCTTTCAATATGCTGTTCTCATGTTTTTTGCTTTTTTTGCCTTTTTTCTTTTTCTGTCCTTTCTGTAGGGCTTTTTTTGAGCTTTCTGGAGCTTTGGAGAGGACCAAGGAGAGCTCTTAGGTGACACGTAAGGTGAGGACCGAGGTGTCCCCTTCTGCAAGACTTTGGTCTTTGGACTGATGGCTCCGTCACAACCAGATTCTTGTTGCCGCTGCTCCTGCATACGCTTTTGCCTTTGTTTATCCATATTCCTTGTCAGGATACTTGTCATGCTCATTCTTGGGCCAGCAAGGTCAAAGTGGTATCCAAGCTTGACCAGAGTGGTGTTCTCTTTCAACAGTTTAACTATGTCCATTTCCACCTGGCTGCCCATGATGTGCCTTTGATTGTGGAACCGCAGTTCTGTTAGAACCTTGTTGCTCTGCAAAGCTCTCATGATGGCCAGCACTCCCTTGCCTGTGATAAAATTTGACTCAATATTCAGACTAGTTATATGCTGATTTACCTTTAACATACCAGCTATAGCTATTGCAACGTTGTCATCAGCATGTGTGTTAGCCAAGCTGAATGACTTGACCACTGTGTTGTCCCTCAGGGCTTGAGAAAATTGTATAAGCATCTGCGAAGTGATGTTTTCTATGTTGTTCAGATTGACCTCTGTGGTGTCAGGGTCATTGCTCCTAACTTTTTCCAAAGCATCCTCAATAACTGTTGGATTTCCACAAGGGTGGATGGCACTGCTTTTTAAGCTCAGATTATCGGTGTCTTTTCCATCGTGGCCATTGAGTAAGTTTTCATTGTCCTTCGCGCCATTGCACTTTTTGTGTCTGATGTGGTCAGAACTCCTGCCATCCTCAGGTCTTTCACCACCTGCAGCATTTTGCTTTTCCTCATCCTCATCATCACTGTCATCTTCATCTTCCTCCTCATCTTCTTCTTCCTCTTCATCATCCTCTTCAGTATATGCCTCCTCAGACACTTCACTATTGCTTTCTGTGAAATATTCTTCTTGAATGTCTTCTGAATTGTCTTCTTGTTGCTCACAGTCCTGAACAGGAACGTAGACGTGGGTGTTAAACTTGACTGCAGTAATGCAGCTACTGCCTTTTTGCACAAAAACAATTACCTTGAAACTATATAAGTTAATACTGAAAGATAAAATAAATCCCCAGATACAGAGACAGTTAGAAGAACAGAAAATGTTTCAGCACCTAACACCTTTTTAACATTATTTCTTTCATATTTTTTAGAAGACAAATGCTTAGCATAAATGGGAACAGTTCTACTGACATAAATGATTTCTCCCAAAAGAAAATTTGATATAAGGTATTGCAACATGAACATACTTCATGTTTTCTATAAGTTGGCATGTCCAAAAGGGGATGCTATTTGGATCCTTGCCAACAGAAACACAAGACAGCAGTTTCAGAATGGACATGCGCTATGAGGAACAATTTTCTTCATTTCATAAGGATTAGACATCTGTGTCAATGCTCAGACACCCTTGCATATGTTAGTGCATCTAAAATGGCTAAAGACTGTCATGATTGAGAATACAAATAGGGTTTGCATGTGTAAACATGCATATCGATGTGCAAAATAATACAGAATTACAAGAGGCATGTCGAAATACTCTTGGATGCACTGGGCTATACACGCTTAGAAGCTGTTTGTGAAGAAAAGATTCGGGCACATCCCCACAGGTAACAAGTAATCACATGTCAATCATCTCCAAATGTTTGCCAAGAACTAAGACTGCACTCACCGACAGCTGTCACAGGTGAGCTGTCATACTGTATCTCGTTATAAGTCACTACCTACAGAGAAAACTGACTGCTTTTCTAAACCCCAAGGCTATTTTGGTGTGTGTGGTGGGCACCAAAATGGCAAATTTGGATGTACTGCTCAAAGCTCTGCCTGGTGCCCTCAGCAGCTATGGTGGCAGAGGACAACTCTCTGAGCAGGACGAGCAGAAGCTCTGCGCCCCAGGGAAGCCTCACTCTCCACCTGGAGGCCTCCAGAAGCAGTGCTGTATGGGCGTTGGCTGAGCCCAAATGGACAAGCCATAGTGTATGCCTTTTTATTTACATTTGTGTTTATAAAATTTGGGATGAAATATAATTATTCCATGTGCACTACTTTAGCAACATTCATATTTTTGTCGTAAAATACTAGAGGATATTTTACAAAGTGAGTACACTCTGCAGAGACACAGTGACTCAGTTTTGTGCTTCTGGGAAACAGAAGTGTTACTAACATGACAGCCTGTTTTTAGAAAACCTGTGCAGTTTTAGGTTTGCTTAATTATTTGGCTCTAACAATGCCGAGAAAGGTTAAAATAATAGTAATGACAGATCGCACAGTACGGTTTCACAATCTCAAGCAGATTTCTGTGTTGGGACACAAGCAAAACAGATGGTAAGGGTAACGTTCGGAGCAGCGTGACTCCAGCGAAGCAGGACATCGAGCTGTTCCAGCCTCTCGCGCCTGAGCATTTGGCGCCTGGAGGGCTTGTGGGGTCCGGCCCCGCTGCTTCTCCTGTGGATTATGTGGGGGAAAACCCTGACACTGAGAGATGCTGTGCTACAGACAGAAACAGGGCTGTGTTTAAGCCAGGTTTGTAACGCAGACTTTTAAAAGCTGAAAACACCAGGTATCCAGGAACCCACCTTCATGGCTATGCTTTTACCTATCCGGGAATATATACTGCAGCCTCCAACACAGCTGCAGATGAGCAGAAGTTGGTGCCTCTAAATGGACTGCTAATATGCTTGGTGATAGTAGATGAATAAAAAAAATACTTTATTTTTTTTGAGTAGCCTTTCTGGGGTCAAAGGGGGAATTTAGTTTCCTGCCACACACATTGCTTAGTGTCATAACAATCTGCACGATGATTCTGAAATCAAGTACTCCTCTCTTTGCAGATCCATAGAGGCATGCGCTGTTACTGTGACAGCATTTCAGTACAGGAGTGCTGCAGGCAGCCTTCAGGGCTTCATCTTGCTTCATAGTAGTGACTCAATGAAAAGTTAGGAATAAGATAGTCAATGCAGAGAGGTAAATATCTCTGGAGGGTAAGTCATTCACCCTAAAAGGCTATCTGCAGGATGTTTGCCTTCTGGAGGGGCTGATCCGTCACCACTAACTATAGAAGGAGCACAAATAACCACCTTAGATAAGATATCTAACTTTCAGACAGTTGAGGGCAAGAAGAAAATTGCTTTCAAGAAACTCAGACTTTCTTATTGCTTTCAGTGGAGAGAGCCTTTGTGCCCTCTACATCAGCATGTCATCATTTTCATATTTACAGATGCATTTAGGAAGTTTCTTCTCAGATCAAAAAGTATAGAGGCTTTTGCTAGCACTTTGAGGTTTAGCCAGTCCCCATCGTTAAAGCTGTATAGACATGGAAAAAAGAAAAAAAAATCTTGCCATTATATAAGACACTGAACTAGTTCAGAGGGTTTTTTGGAACCGTTCAGGTTTCAGGTTCCAGGCTTAGCTGGAAATAAACATTAATCTTGCCATTGCCTCCCTAGGACTTGACAAACAGGGAGTGAAGTCAACATCTGCAAGCTGATACTAATGGTCTGCTGACAGCTAATGGTCTGTGTGCTTGCCTACAAAGACATGACACCACCATTCACAAGCAGGAGAAAACACTTACGTGTAAAGAAATCCTGGATATTATTACTGCAGGCTAATTTAATCAGGTGATTTTTCTCTAGGAGAATATTTCATCTAATGCACAAACTGCAATTATTTCCTTACAAATGAACTGAGCTTCTCAGTCAAGGCTGTCAGAAGTTCTGAGTTCAGTTTTGCCGTCTTTGTTGTATTATTTTCTACTCAAACACAGGAAAACTTGTCCTCATAAACAGAGTCAGAGAGTGGTACGAAGGAGTGCTTAAAAATCAAAAAGCTACTCACATCCCCAAGTCCCTATATTGGGAATTACATGGAGCCAACATGAAAGCAGGAGTTGCTTTTTGACAGAGGTCCGTCTCACAAATTGTTTTAGCAAGGGCCTGGGGATGCCGACACGGACACCATCTGAGACCGAGCGTGCTGATCGCCTGCTAGGAATGAGCCCTGCGCTCCTGCCCAGCTGCGCTCTTCAGCTGCAGCTCAGGGACCAGCTTTTATTGCTAAAATTTTTATTCTGGGGAACGAATTGCCTAACAAGCACTACTGGTTGGTTTTTTGGGAATACAGATAAAGGGTTTGGCTTCTTGCTCTACCCCAGGCCACTTTTTTGATAACTTACAGCTGCCCTCTGACACCCCTTGCCAGAAGACTCCCGCTTTGTGCCAGGGATCCGTAGCAGGAACAAAGAGCATCAGAAGCTGCTGCCTGCAATGCAGCTTCCTTCCAGCGAGCACGAAGCCTGGCAGCTGCTTACTCAACTTCTGACACAACATCTATTCAAAATTATCTTTCTGATGTGCTTCTCAGCAGCCTATACTGATTATTTTTTGAAGGAAAGGAAAAGGCATTTTCTTTAGCTTTTACACAAAATCAAATGTTATCCAAAACTGCACATCGCCACCTGGCACTGGTTTCTAACATGCCCTTTAAAATTTTTCCTATTTTAATTACTAATGATAGTTTTTACAGGACTTTCTTCTGTTCTCAACCGAGCATTTAAGGTATACGCAGAGAGAGCAGTAACTCTCTGAGCTAACATGCAGTGCTTTAGCAGGCACAAAAGTAGGGCTGATAAAATTCTTAAAAATGCTACAAGAGACTGAAAGAAAATGCAAACAACCAGCACGATTGTGCCAGGGAATAAGAAACCCACATATTTCTAGGAAACAGCAAATGCCTCGGCGTCTTACCTTGTCGCACGCACCCAGTCTCTCTTCTTCTAAGAGTTTCTTGGTCTCCCTCTCCCAATAGGCCATCAGCGCTTCCCGGCTGAAAGTCCCCGTTGGTGTTTTCTCCGTCAGGCTCTTCTGCCGTTGTCCCACCGGCAGGTTACGGTCAGGCTCTATGTCCTCCAGCTCCCGCTCCAGCTCCTTCAGCTCCTCTTCAGTGAGAGAAGCGAGGAGCTCGTCTTCATCGATGTCTTCATATTTACTGAGCTCTCTTCTGTAGCCAAAGGTAGACATGGTCCTGCTTGGTCAGGCTGGTACAAACCTGAAGTGACTAGGCATTCAAGAAGCCTGAAGCAGGCAAGCTGTGTCTCGTTTGGTCAGCAACTGTTTCCCTGCATAGAGGAGGCACCCTTTTAAGAGTAATCATCGGGGGCTTACGACAATGCACGAAGGGATGAAAGCATGCTCCGTTTTAAGCATCAGACGTCAGCTAGGCATCTGAACAGCAAGAATGTCCCAACACTAGTGTTTGCAGGTCCCTTAAAGAGGGGGATTATTGACACACTGGCCATGGCCATATTTAGAGCAGGCGGCTACCGGGAGAATACCAGCCTCACGGGCAGGGGGGGGACGGCAGCAAATAAAACCCCGGGCGCATTCACACTATCTTCGTGTCCAAACTGCAGCAGAGAAAGAACAATGAAAATCCATTTAATCCTGAGCTGCTACAGGGGCTGGAAATAAAACACCCTCGCCATTGTTCAGTGGGCTTCCTCCCATTTTCACGGTTTTCTAGCGGAACCACGCTGCTATCCTGCCAAGGTGTTTGCAGGAGGTTGGGATCAGTGGGAAGGCAGCCCGAGGGGAGGTCATGCCTCGCCTGTTACAAATCACACAACTGGATTATTTATTAATTCCCCCTCCTTTTTTTTTTTTTCTGAGGATGAGTAGAGGGCGAATCAGCTTGACATGTCCATTTGGAGCTCCTGTGAGATTCTTTTTCGCGCGGAGAATTGTGCTCTGCTGGGGGAGTGAGTTTTAGGGGGAACCAGCCCTGGGTGGGCAGCGGGGCTCCCTCCTCATCACTTCTGACAGCCCCTAGCAAACGAAGGCCTCTAGTGGCTATTCTAGTTAGTGGCCACTGCTTGATGTAACTGACTGAGGTGCAGCTGGAGCGTGCCCTCCAATTCTTAATTTTAAATGTGTGTCTCCATTATCATGTCTGCTAATAATGACACATTATTCTGATATTATTTTGATAGACAGGTATCTCCAATATAAGAAACTACAGAATAAAAGGTTTAACTTCACACTGTTTTTTTCTTTATTAGCATCGAACAATGGTGAACTAGCGACGTTTTCTAAAATGTGCAGGCCAGCAATATCTGCAAACCTGCGTTGTGAGAGAGAGAGGGAGAGGAAGAGAGAAAGACAGAAAAGGTTGGTTTTGGCACAGGGAAGTAGGAGAACATCTATAACAACACATATTAACCTTATTAAATGATAACACACGGTGTTTTAGACAGTCAACTCAGTACTTAATGGAAATGTAAATGAAAATAATTTGTAGTATTGTTCTTGTCCGGCATCATCTCTTTTTGGCTACTACGGATCAGACACCTGAACTGATATATGATGCTTAGCCAAATTGCTCATTTAGTTTTGTTATTATGCATATTGCTTTCCTGGAAATGAAGACAGGAGACTGAGCATGATTTTCATAAACAGATGCGATAAAGAAATTACATTTTTTCTTTGATCATTTTTCTCTATGATTTTCATGTCATTTAGCTTGCTCAAGAAGTGGGATGAAAGCTTAAAAGCTTATTCTTCCCTAACACACAAAATACATCAATAAAGCAGATTAAATAACATTGTGCATCTTAAAATTAAATAAATATTTGCAGGTCATTTACATTGACCAAATCTTTGCATAAACTAAAAAGGACGAAGATATACAAAACAGTTAGTCTTATGGAGCTAAGAGTGTTGTTACCTTCACGGTATAAGATACTGTGATGGGTCCCCTGCATCTAGACAAGTCAGCGGGTCAGTAGAAGTTCTGTTCCCTCTTTCAGCTGTACTTGCAGAAATGATGCTTAGGCCAACTTCTGTAAAATGAGAAACAGCAGGAAAAAATAGTAAGTTCTATTAACTTTGCATTGTGAATGCTGATGTTGGCATTAATTAAATGTACATAACAGAACTCCAAGCAATTTTATTTCTTTAGTATGTCTAGGACAATTGTTCACCTTGTTATCATTGTAGTTAGCCAGAGAAGCAGCACAATAAAATTATCTTTCTTGGGCGCATTTTTGCAGACAATATTTTGTTGCAAACATTTTTAGATGGAGCTGGTTAGAAAATTTGCACTAGACAGATTTTCTGTTGGAAAATGCTGATTGAAACTGAAATGTCTTTAGAAATGTGCTATATTTTATCAGTACAATGTTGATATGTACAACATTGATATGTGCAATATTAAAAGCAAAAACATGCTGTTAAAAATGAAATCTATTCAAATATACTGTTACCCAGAAAATTCTGAGCTTTCTGCTTTTCCTTTTTTCCTCAGATACAATGAAATTTGTAAGTCTCTAAATTTTTCTGGGCTGAAAGTCCATAATACAAAGTACAAACATACAGATACCTGAATTGTCTATTTAAAGTTTTCTATGTATATTTCAAATTTTCCAAACTGTAAGGAACTTCAAAAAGCAACATGCATTACTCACTTTTACAATAATATTCCAAAGGAAGATTTAGTCCAGTCCTTGGCAGCAACATGAATATTACCTTCAGTGCTACTCCTTGCTGAGGCATAATACAATGTTGGCCAGTGGTGATGTTTTTCTATATATCAGATGTCAGTAATGTCCATCCTAGCCGTGGGATAAGAGAATTTAAAGATGTTACTAAAGATGGACAAAGTATTTTATTGTAAATTTCTCTCCTGAAGCTGGGGGGAAACTGGCACAGTTAGGTGAGGTTGTGAGAGGTTTGGGTCCTTTCTTGACCCTGTACATGGCACTCACGGTAATTCAGGACCCATTATTAATAGGGAGATGGCCAAGTGTGAAGATCTATGAACACTCTCAAGAACAATTTTAATAAAGGTAATAAGGCTGTAGCACATAGCAAATTACACACACAAAAAGGATTCTAAAACTGTAAAGCTAAGTACTCATAGGTCAGAAAGTGCGGGGATAGTATTTGTCCTCGCCTGTTGATGAGCACTGAAACACAGTCCTTAATTCCGTAATTCTGTAACCATATACTTTGATCCTAGACCCACGAGTTCCCAGGACCTTTACTCTTGTTCAGTGTACAGGAGAGATCAAGTACATTTAATAAGCAGCCTTTCAGCATTTTTGTTTCCCCTGTTCTTCAGCATATCAAGACTACCAATGGCTTTATTTGTCCAGTGGCCCTTTCAGGAGACATGAAGGTGTTACCGCCTTTGTGAGGAGGAAGAATAAAGGTACAGAGCCATTAAGATTGAAAATACCCACTGATTTGGAGTTTAGAATTCCCTTTTTGGGGGTATTTGGCATCACGCAGCCCTTCAGCTGGTCAGGGCTCAGTTCCTGTGAGCACCAGCCACTGCTGAAGCTGCCCACCACTTCCACAGTTCAGATCAGAGGTTCCAATCTCCCAGAGGGACTCTGCTGCAAAGAAAGGAGTTACTGTGTTTTCCTGTTATCCGCATTGCTGCCTGAAACCTTTTGTTCTCCATTTCTCAGGCATTACACATGTTCAGACTTCTGCAAAAAAACAAGCCAAAAAAATAGCAGTCCGAGCATCCTGTTACACATCCCAGGCTATGTGCTCGATCACGCCATTATAAACAGTTTAGGAAGACACCTTGTGCTAGTGAGGTGGCACAGGGAGCTCCCTTCCATCGCCGAAGGCAGGACAGCAGACCGTGAGCTGTATGTAGTACGTGAGGGCAGGTTTACGCTGGCTGCATTGACCGCTGTTTAGGATGAATCCTCCAAAGCGGAGGATTCAAACCCAAACTGACCTCCCTAACGCGCTGCTGAAATCCTGCATGCAGGGAGTAAACCATTTCACGTACAGGCCATGAAAACTCACCACTCAATCAACAGAATTATTGAAAGGTTTGTTCCTGTCAGGACCTGGGCTAAGACGAGAGAAAATGAGAACCGGGGGTGCCCTTTTCACAGGAGCAGGATTCACCGTGCCACTGTAGATACTTGGCACCCAGGCTCCCGGCTTCGTGTGGGATGGAGCCCACTCCGCAGCAGCTTGACTGTAGACAAGGCTTTCAATCTTTCCTACCCTGCGTTATCTATTTTCTCAGTTTTAAAAGAGGAAACCCTTCTAAGTGCTTATATGTTCTTTTTTCCTTTCCAAGCAATTAACTGTCCAAGCAGCAGCCTAGGAAACTTTCTTCTGCCTCTCACACGTCTCCACGCTTTGGGCTCGTTGCCCCAAGGGCTCAAAGGACATGAGCAACACCCGATGGCTGGTGCTCACCCCAGCAGGGCAAAGCCCGTGGCTTAAATTTTATTTCCATTTGGGCGAGCGCAGGGAAAACTACCGGCAAGCAAAGAGAGTGCTGCGCAACCTTGTCCTCAGGCGCAGGACACGGCCGGCCCCAGGACAGCGGCTATTTCCGTCACGGCTCCTGAGGACAGGCTGTCAGACAGATGCTTTGGCTCGTACGGAGCTGCAGCCCCACGCTGCAGGAACAGCTCCAATTGCCACAGAGCGCATTAAAATCCATGCACCACAGCGCGGCTGGGCTTTCCCCGGCTCTCCCGCTGCCCTTCTGCCTGCTGCGCTCACTCCCGCTGTCCCCCCGACAGCTCTTGCACCCCCTCGTTCCTCAGCCAGCCCTTCCCCATCCCTGCCTCCTTGCTGCTGCACTGCCTTCTCCATCCCTGGCCCTGCAGACCCCCTCGCCTGCCCTCGCCATGCAGCCCCTTGCTGTCCTCGCCCACCTCCACAACCTGTG